TATAATAGGAAGTGTGTATCAACTGGTGCAGATGTTCCTGTTCCTTCAAGAGCTGCAGGCGTTCCATGTGACGCACTCGTCATCTCAGGCACTTCCACTGCAGCTTGGGTGGCCTGGTGTCCTCCGTTCCACACGCAGGCCCCGGTAGAGCCACGCCTTTCGTCGGACACGCAGGGAGAGCAGCATCGTTGGATGGGGTACGATGAATTGAATGACGAAAGCCACCAACGACCTTCTTTTGTAAACCAACCAAGAGAGGTAGCCAGTGACCTGAACTAGGACCCGTCACCTGGGGTACCCAACTGGGATAGTCTATAGGGTCACTTAACCTCTCTTGGAACCTTAATCAAGTGATTCCCTTTTCCATGTTCCGTAGAACATCATGATCCGTCGGGTATCTGAAGTCAGGCGAACAAGTGTCAGGCTTCCCCCGGTGCGTCGGTGCCGGTTGGGGACCGGGATCTACTCAAGCAGCAATCTGAACTTGGATGTTCCCATCCATGTAGACTTGATATATCAACCACCCCAGGCTTGGAAGAGTTTTTTTTAGGTGTTAGTTTTTCCATGTTTTTCCTACTATAGACTCTCTTGATTGATAGACCCCTTTGTCTTTGACTTGGAAAAGCCTTTCAGAGACCGTCTACCATTAACCATGTCATAATGAGGGTTTATTCATGTTTATTCATCAATTAACCATCATTGGACCCCTCCAAACTGGAGAGATCAAGGCCCGACCTTGGGTCCCTCGGCTCGGGGGGTGGTCCGACCACTTCCGTGCGAAGCAACCCTTCACCGACTTGAGAGTGACTCGATTGGTTCGGTTGGGTCAGAACAAGCGGGTCATGGCACAAGTGGGACCCTGGTTGACCCAAAGGGAACAGATGGGAACAGAGGTACACGGCGAGGTCTTCCTCTATCAGCGTCAACCTACTTACCTCATCCTACCTCCGGGTGCTACGACCCACAGCCATTTCAGTGCTGAAGTCTCCAATCGTCCAGCCTGATGGACTTCCCACGGCCCCCCTTGGAGGTGTGCCTCCGGATGCCTTTGTCGGATCACACCGAGGAGCGAGTGTTTTTGTTTATATGCATTCCACCAGTCGGCACGACAGTCGGCCAACACAGATCGTTTTTTTCATCGATTTTGCCAGGTAGTCCATGACCCCGCAAAATCCACGGGCTAGCCAACCGGGTGGTTTCGGATGAGCATGACCAATACTGATGAATCAGCCCCCATGAGGGGCGAGGTTTTACCATCCATGTCTGGGGGGGATGACTCTTAATCAGGAATCCAGAGTCTACATGACCCAGTTCTCATACCAGTTTCTAGAACATTCAACCATAGTTTGTGTGTCAAGGTTATCAAGTTATCACCGGCGGAAAAGGAGTAGACGGACGAAAGGAAGAAGACAGAGGAAGGAGATTGACAGACATCTGATTTTCCCGAACAGCGCTTTCGGATTTGGTGATTTCTTCTGACCTGGTCAGACTGACAAGCTGAAGCCACTGGAGCTTCTTACTTTTCTCCTGGTGAAACCATCACAAAACCCACCACTACCACTGGAGGGGGAAACATCTCAGGAAAGCATTCCAGGGTCAGGACCCCGAAGACACGGGTCTGTGCCGGTGAATCACATGTCCTTCACATTTCCGCCTCAAGTTTCCTGACTTGGTACCCTGGCTAGTATATATATATATAATCTTAATAATTATATGATAAAATTATACGATATGTGTTTTCAATTCTACTAAAATTCCAGACCCCGCGCCCCCCTCGCCCAACATCTCCTGACTCGCAGCTTTGGCTTGGCTTCCAATTGAGGGACCTTCCAACTCTGTTGATTGTTTCATAGTTTTCCAGGGCTGCCACGAACACAGAATACCGGAATACCTCGCATGTTTAGGTATCAAGTGATATTAAGAGTCTCTATTGCACTCAATTCTCAGGGTGCAGAGCTCACAGCTCATTTGCTTTTTGGATGCAGTCTTCATTCCGAGGGAGCTTGTAGTGTATGTCTCGCTGGGTATCAGCCCACTGGTGACATCACGTTCGTGTGATGAGCAGAGCACCGGTGGCGGCACGCCAGGATGGGGTGTCAGAACGAAGGATGGCTGGGAGCAGGATGAGGACATCAGCAGCTCGGTTGGCCGGTCTTCGGCCTGTTTGAGCCGCCGTTTGAGACATAGCGCGCCGATTTTTGCCACGACATAGCACGAGAGATCCAATGGATGGAAGACTATGTGAATGCCCATCCTGTCCTGAGCCGACTTCCAATTCAGAAGTGAAGGAAGCTTTGGTGGGGGAATTTGCTACTGGGTGGTATAATTTGCTACTGGGGAAGCTTCTAGAACATTCAACCACCCTCATGCAGAGAGTTGACCAATATGTCTAACATCCTCAACTTCACGGCTTCCCGGTCCCTGGAAGAAAAGGTCGTCCATCTCTCGTGACGTCGGCTTCGTCACGCACATTGCACCTAAAAGGAAGACGAGTTTCCTTATGTTTCCTTCACCTGAAGCTGAAGCAAGAAAGCAGTCTAACAAGAGGATTGGTTTCCTTCTCAAGACTGGTTTTCTTCCCCACAAAAGGAAGACTGCCTTGAATTTGCTGCGTGGGGTCGGGCGGACCTGAGGCATTGGCACCCAGCCCTTCGAGACACCCCAGAGCACTTTGTGGGTGGTCTCGCAGCTCGACATGGAGGAAGAACATGGGCGGGTTCAGCTCGCCGAACAACGAGAGAAGACACAGGGAACAAAAACACAGGAAAGGTACTGTATTCATAAACGGGCAGGACCTACTCTCAGGCTTCTGCTGCTGCTAGAAAGCAGGTTATTATACACATATACTTTTTCAATCTAACAAATAGTCGAATTGTCATGGATTGTCTATTGGGCACTGTGACTTTCCATTGCAAGCGGCCATGTGTCCAAAATGCATCCAGATTCCTTGTTGGGAGAACCAGAGACTCAAACCACTCAAATCTCCAGATACTGGGATTGGCTGCAAGCTTGAGTGGCATAGCTGGTGATAGAAACAATAATAGTTCTTGCAGGCATCTTTGGCACATGTTCGCAACAAGGGAACATGGGTGTTCCAATAGGTTGTCTTCCAGTGGCACGTTTGTGTGGGGTATAATCATGCATTCTAACAGCTTTATACTATCTTTCTGGCCACTGTTTGTTTAATCAAGAGTTGGTGAAGCTGACCAGAGCTCTGAAAGTCCTGTTGATCTATACTGTTTGAAGAGGGAGTGCATAATCGCTAGCCAACAGCTGTTGGTCAAGCACATGCCACAGCAACCTCTGCCACGGTTCCCTATGATCTTTAGGTGACCCGAAAAGGAGTTTCCTCTACTTCGATGGTGTGAAATGCAGTCTTTGGACTTCCATATATATATATATGTAGATTATATTTAATATAACACTAGCAACAACAACACTAGAAATACATGTATATAGATAGATAGATAGATAGATATAGACATAGATAGATATAGATAGATATAGATAGATCGATAGTTAGATAGATAGATAGATATAGATAGATATAGATAAATATATATATATAGATATAGATAGATAAAGGTATAGATAGATAAAGGTAGATAGATAGATAAAGAAAGAACGACAGACAGATAGATAAATAGAGATATAGATATAGATATAAGGTATAGATATGGATAACGATATAGACATAGAGATAGATAGATAGATAGATAGATAGATAGATATAGATAGATAGATAGACAGATAGATATAGATAGATAGATAGAGATAGATAGATAGATAGATAGATAGATAGATAGATAGATAGAGATAGATAGATAGAGATAGAGATAGATAGATAGATAGACAGACAGATAGATAGATAGATAGATAGATATAGATAGATAGATAGAGATAGATAGATATAGATATAGATATAGATAATTATAGATATATAGATATATATAGAGAGAGATCTAGATAGCAGATACAGATAAAGATATATTATATATATATAGATTGTATAATATGTAGATTCAGATGTGGTTCCAAACTTGTTGAAAGAACGTTTGCAAATGAAGCCATCAAGCCAGTCGAGCCGCAAACCTTGCCAGGTCAGGGCAGAAGGCCACCGGCCGCTTTGACCTCCTCGAAGGCCCTTACGGTCGGATGTCGGCTTCGGAAGGCGAAGTGAAACACACATGTCGAACTCGGGTTCTAGCCCTCGGGTCCCTAGTCCCATCGGGCTTTGTTTCGTTGGAGAAGAAAGGAAGGATCCCAAAAGGATCCCAAACGCATGACGGGACTTCGAACCGGGTGGGGGGAGGGTCCCGAGACCTGGAGACGACGTCCCGTGAGTCCATTCCGCGGGTGCCGTGGGTCCATCGCTGCTCAGACATGGAAGAATACCCGGGTAGACTGGGCTGGGAGGTCCCCCTTACTAGTAGCAAGGCCCTTAGCTGCTAGTAGCAATACACTTGTTGCTAGTAGCAAGGCCCTTAGCTACTAGTAGCTTCGTGTTCCTAGTAGTAATGCCAGGAGCTACTAGTAGCTTCTTGTTTCTAGTAGTAATGCCCTTGTTACTACTAGCCCTTATTAATACACACCCATTTAAGACCTTTTTTCGCCTTCCCCCACGTGATGCACTGGAATTCACCCCCTGTTGGTAACATTTAGTGAAGCAAAGGTCATCTTCCTTTCAGGGCCATGCCATCCACGTAACTGTGTGATATGTTCGTCAGAGTGTCTTGGTGTGCTTTTGGGGATGGGTCTTCACATCTTTGCAGACCACGCACGCGCGCCAGCGCCTCGGGAATCCACTGGCGCGACACCTAGAACTTCCGTGACTTGACTCAATGAACCACGCTAGGCCGCTAGGTAGTCAATCCAACCACCCAACCGTTCAAGCACTTCATTCCTACCTCGTACTGGTATTTCTCGTCGTATTTAATATGAGTCACTTGGACTCCAATGCGACCGCCCGGGTCGCCGCGGGCATTTCAACCGTTCGCCAGGTCAACAGGCCAACGGCTTCCCACTTTGGCGACGTGCTGGCCGCGGTGCAGCGATGTGGCTCTACAGTGGCAATAAGGGCAGCTTGGTGGTCCGAACAGAACAAAAACACCGAGACCGAGGCAAAAACTGGCCCAACGAGTTGGGTGGGTTTAGGGTTGAAGTCGTTCAATTTTGATGAATTATGGCATATATGTGGCCAATGGCACCGTGATCTTTCGACGAATGATATGTTTATGACGTCTTAAAAATGTAAACGATTGTTCACGATTCGACAGAGATTTTTTATGATAGCAACTGAGTAATTTGTGTAGACAGTTGAGCAGCGACAAAAACCTCCATCTAAAGCCTTTATCAAGCACTTGTTCTCATAAGGCCAAGACATAAGGGTTTTCGACACCGCTCAGTTGTTGGTCATCTCAGCCATCTCATGCTCTTCTAAAAGACATGAACTTGACCACTCATTCTTCTCCAGGAAAGTGGTGCATCGGTGACCACACGGTGGCCGAGTTGTACAAGTTTCGATGCAGCTCCTTGGCCGACCTCCGATCGACGCTCGCTCGATGGAGGGATTGAGTCCGGTGCGATGAAGACGATCAGGAACGGGCCAAAGGAACGCCGTCCTCATGGCGAGGATTGCCGGACTTGGAATGTCCTCCGGGATGTTCCCTGCACAGTGAACAACCATCTCAGAACTGGAGCGGACAAGGGGAATCCGACTGTTTAATTAAAACAAAGCATTGCGATGGCCTCAGAAGGTGTTGGCGCAATGTGATTTCTGCCCAGTGCTCTGAATGTCAAAGTGATGAAATTCAAACAAGCGCGGGTGGCGCTAGCTGCTCAAAAATGCGCTAGCCCTAGTATATTATTGGCGGTATAATTATCGGCGTTCCTGCAAAAAACAGCATGCTGGTCACCAACTTTGACACCCCGGCCTCAGCCGCCCCAGCTCGTGATACAGCGAAATTATTCAACCAGTCCAGTCATCATAAATGATCATGCAACCATATTACATAATTACAGTAATCATACCAATGTTCAAGCTTTTGCAAGTATAATATCTATACCCTAGCCTTCAAAGACGTTTCAAAGAATGGTTGACCTGTTTTTGCAGTGTAAAATCCTTAGTAAAGCAATTGTGGTTTGACCTTGGTTGTTGGAATCCTATATATTATAAATATACATCACCGTTGCTACCGGCTATCTAAAATGACGGTGGTCGACCACGGAAAACCTTATTTGACTCATTTAGTTCAAGGCTTGTTTGAAATGGGTTTTAAATATGGTTGGCAGCGACAGATTTACAAACCGGTCAAATTAGCCAGTTGTTTTTGATAAGATTGTGAGAAAGCTGTTTCTATTTGTCACTCTTCAGATTAAATGACTTGTACGGACCTTTGGTGCGTGAAAGTCATTTTTTAAACCAATTTTGGAACGGGAATATACATATATATATATACACAATATAATAGAAATAGAATATAGAAAAGCGGGAAGTAGACCTATACGACAGTGTGACCATCCTACTCTTTGGTCCAAGAGTGGTGCTTCCATCTTCAATCAACTGCTTTGGATGGCTGTACTCCCACACCATCAGATTGACTTCACATCTCCAGATCCTGCTTTTTGGGGCGCTGTTCTGCCCGCGCGGGCGTTTCCGTGAATGGAGTCGAGGCCAGGGCTTCATGGTTTCGGCGGCGCCTCATGTGGGAGAGCCTCCCGAGCACGAGAACACGACGTGAACGTTTCAGGAGGAGCGGGTGATTTGTTCGGCTGACGAGGAAGGGCGATCGAGTCACTGATGGGTTCGGGCTGATGAGCATCTTGGAAGAACGACGAGTCCAAGCAGGAGAAGCAGTAGAATCAGAAGTGTTTTGTTCGGCACTTGCCCAGTTCAGAATGGCTCTTTCCCCACGCATGCCCTGTTTTCATGGCTGTGCATGTGGGTACTTGGCGGATCCCAGTCCGGCTGCGCTTGTCGTTAGTGTGTCCAGGGTCTCCATGCGAAGTTGACATGTTTGTGGGGACATGCGGAGTTGAGGGACATTTGCTGTCTCAGAAAAGTCACATTAGCGGCCCCATGCGGCCAATCCATGCAGAGTAAAATTCCATTTGGGTTTAGGGTTGGGCCGCCCTGCTTTTCGATCAGAAGGGCGTTTGCTGCCAAAGCACGTGCAACGATTTGGCACTGGGCTATATGGGTTAAAATTTGTGAAATTGCTCCCAATAATACCGACCCTCAAATGCAGATAGTACTGCATGTACAGATCAAATCGTCGCAACCAGAAGCTGAGCTCGGAGGGGTATACCTTATTGGAGGGGTACCTATTGGAAAATCCATTCATCCTCGGGGTCTCTGTGGCAACCATGAAAACCTCCATCAACCGGAAGGCCCTCTTGGAAGGTCCTTCAGCCCTGTCCCTCTGGGTGCGAGTCTGGACCGTGGACCGTGGGCGGTCGCACCCAGCACCGTTCGTTTGGTTCTGACCCGAACAAGCGGGTCCATCCGGAGATGCGGGGTCACGCCCAACGAACCATCCATAAAAACCGTTGCTTTCCTGCTTCGTGTTCCTGCGGGTGTCCACTTCCATGGATGATTTCAGGGTTCCGACCTGCCCTTAGGATCATTGAACCCGACCACTTCTGGAGGGTTTTGAGCCTGCAGAACGCAGGGGTTTGGACCCTCAAAACCTTCACCGAACTGAGGGTCCTTGATTCTTAGGGTGACAGCACTTCCATGCTGATGATTCAGGGAGTGTACATACCATGTAAATCCTTGGGTCGACCTTCACCGGGTGCGACATGCTCAACGGCAGGATGGGTCTTCATCCTCTTCATCCTCAACGGTCGTGTCCACCGCCACTCCACCAGTTCCAGATGTGGCTTTGCATGGAAAACACTGGGATCCAATTTGGACTCTGGGGGGAATGAGGACATCAGACTGGTTGCTGATGAATGAGGTGGACATCAGACTTTCTGCTGATGCGACCAGAACAAGTGGTCCCCTTAATTGAATGATGCATGTTGCAAAGGGATCAGTCTAGCATACCGGAAAAGGCCTCCTCATAAAAATGATTAAAACTGTTTCGGTTCGATCTCTTTCAGAAAAAGCGACAGATTGGTTTGCTCTGGGTTGGCAGTTTCATCAACCATCATCCATCATCAACCCATTTCAACTCCTATTTGGAAGGGATTGTCCGAATTGACTGGAATATTTTGCAGGATTGTTTTCTTTATTGTTCGCCATTTCGAATTTTGACCGATTAATTTTGCTCAACATTATGACAATACTACCGTTGTGACCAGAGTTCCCCAAACCTGATATAATATATATATTGTAGATATCGGAACAATCAAGAATGATGTGACGATGTGAACAGAATAATCAATAACTATATGCAAGACAAACCAATCCAATATGTGTGAATTGCCAGGATCCTTTCCTTTGTAAAAAAGGAACAGAACCGTTACCCCGCTCGAGAGCGGAAACTCCAGAAATCCCCCCCCAAACCAACGGCGTTCGTCGGTGTCGGCGTGGATGGCGGTGTGCAATCCATCACGTTAAAGGCGGAGAAACCCAGCTTCTCGGTGCGAAACATGGGGAACTGATGGGCTTTCTGGCTGGTTGGATCTGTCGTCAACGACTCCCCCAAGTACTGCCTCAACTCTTCCTGGATTTTGCGTTGTTACATGTTGTTACGACATTCTGTCGAGAAACGATGACTATTTCTTGGGTCAAAACCACAGCCTAGAATTGAAAGTTCAAGGATCTTCGATCGTGTGGCAGTTCCTCGAATCAAGCGGTGAACCAGGAGTTCAGCAAAGTGCCAGAAAGAAGCATCAAACAATAAAGAAAGTGCTGCGTTGATTAACCGTCATCAATAATCATCAGCATTAAACATGAGTACTTCTTAGAGTTGTGCTGGTTGAAAGTACACTTCCTGAAATAATGCCAACGTGGAGAACGCATGTCCCCGAAAGGATGACGACCAATCCGAATACAAAACAGGCGGTAGTGCCATCCACAAGCATCATGTCAGGGAAAGTATCCAAAGTCTCACTGAGGTGATTTACCTCATGTCTCCAAATGGACAGCAGAGAAAGGACCGCACAAAGCTCAGGGAACGACTCGGGCTGGACAAATGTTCATGGTGGACCGCCAATGAGTAGCCTGTGGATTGGCATCCCCTGTTTGGTCCTGGCAAAAGACATCAATTCGTTGGATCATGCATTATAGTTATAGATATTATTCGGAATTTGGAATCCGTTTCTATTTGTCCGATGTAGTTGAACGGCTGAGCAGTATTTGGAAGACTCGTTTCTAGTTCGTGCCTTCGAGAAAGACGAAGACTCTGACTCTTGAGCTGGCTGATTTGATGTGATCGTTCCCCGTGATGGGGTGAGCGATTTGGAAGTGGATCGGGGCTTCTCCGATGAGCCAATTGTGTTTTAAGAAGCGGAGATCAACCAATGTTCAACCCTAGCCCTAGCAACAGACCAAGTGGGAGATGCTTGAACCATCCCACGATATGGGCGTTTTGTCGTTTCCCTCCCACTCTTGGCATCGATCGCACGCAGGCCGGGATCTACCAGCTGGTGCGGGAGATCTTCGCCAATGGCTATCCGTGCCCTGGCTTTTGGCCGTTCACGGCTGAAAGAAGGAGCTTCTGGACGTGAGTTTCTCCTGCACTTGTGGCTCAGGATGTTGGGTGTTTGATGGTGTTTATATGATCTAAACCTGACCATTTTCAGTGGGAAGGAAGGCCAACTAATCATTGCTGTCCACCTTCCCCACTTCGTTCAAGGGCCCTTTTTGGTGAGCTGAATGATGCTGAATCTCCACCATCCCCTCTCTGGACTCAAGGACCAGGATTCGACCCATTCCCATTGAAAAAAGCTCAGCGGATCCTGCTCGACCCATGGATCCCCTCAAATGGCCGATATGTTGCTGGTCAATGGACACGGTGAGCCAATCGACCACAGCCAATCGACCATCCATGTTCGACACTGAAAAACGGAGTTCGTTGACAACTCCTGCGAACCCGGGAGACCAGTTTAACGAGTGCATATTTATAAGAACGACTTTCACTGCATGACTCTGCACGCCCGCTCTCTGATCACTTTTGGTACACTTCCTCCGATCATCGTCGCTTCCAGGCAGCCGACATGGTGGTTCACGAGTGTTTCACGAGTGTTTCACGGGTGAATCATGGGTGAATCACGGGTGCATCACGGGTGAATCACGCGTGAATCACGGTACACACCCAGTTTTTCCAGTCTCTAATCAAGTTTAACTCGTCTCTAAGCAAGTTTAACTAGTCTCTAAGCGAGTCTAACTAGTCTCTAATCAGGGTCTGTTCACTGTGAATCACGGGTGGATCACGGGTGAATCACAGTATCGCCAATTAACGTTTTCTTGAACAATATTGGCTAGAAGTATATATAAGTTTATACTCCACAATCACTTTTGGTACTAATTTACAGGTGGTTAGAGGTGGTTAGAGACAAGTAAAGTACGATCTTTAAAAGTAAAGTACGTTCATGTGAATGAATTTGTTATGAACAAGTTTAACGAGTACTTTGGTTCATAGGGATTCCATGATGCTAGTTACAAGATTCACTGGGAATTCAATCTTATTGATTCATAGCACACCCTGAACAACATCTGAACACCAAACACAGCTATACGACGGCAACCAAACAATACTCAACACAAACTTCTCGCTTAATGGTGTTTTGTTTTGCCCAGATGGGTTTTCCATTTGTTTCACATCCTTATCACTGGCTCCACAGATCTCCTTCGGCTCGATCTCCGAGAAAACCGCCGGACGTGCCACACTGGGCGCTGGGGCGGTCGGCCTCCAGGGTTTGGAAGAGCTTTCAAGATGGCCAGCGACTTCTTTACACTGGCAGCAACGGCTGCTGGTACTTCGGAGGCCTCGCGACCCGAGGTTTTCGGGACCTGAGGCATGCAGACCTCCGCCCTTTCGAGGTTTTTTGGTTCGGACCTCATGGAAACGGGGTTCGGGAACGGTGACGATAGGTCGCAAGGACCAGGTTTGACTTGGCCCGACCGGAATTGTAGGGAAAAAGCCAAAAGGGATCGGAAGAGTCAAAGAGCCCAGTTTTTTTGGATCGTGACAAACATGCTCCAAAAGAGACTCATCCGGTTGGTGTCTTTCTTACTCGGTGCCGTGTGTTGTCGTGTGCTTTTTGTTGCAGAGTTTCCGCTTCATGTCGTGTTTCTTTTTGGGAAGAGTTTATTGCCTTTGAACAAAGGTCCAGTTCATTTGGGCTCATGGTGGCTCACGTGATTTGTGTGGTTTTCAGTCGCGTACTTTGGGCAGAACTGCCGGACCCATGCAGAAAGTCGAAGAACGAAAGATTCCCCATTCCCCCATTTGGAACAACCAAAAAAACACAGCAGCCGGACTGGTGTTTTTGCAGCCGAGTTCTGCGGCGGGTCTATTTTTTGCTTTGGTTCTTTGGTGGCTGGTTCTTCTCGACTGGGGAATGCAAACTATAGAGGTCAATGCACGAATGATTCTGTATTCTCATCTTGCATTTACTCCAGCACACCAAATCAGCAGCAGACCATGAAATACCGATAGACATATATAGATGGACTCCCTCTTGGACGCCCCTCGCCCATCCTCGCCCTTCGTCGCCTTCGTCCTCTCCAAAGGCATCGACAAGGTCACCGCACAAGACTTCAACTGCTCCAGTGGTGTGCTGCGCACTGCAGTTCCTCACGGTGGAGCCGCTGGGGCGGCATTCGGTCGATACCCGAGGACGTCAGGGTGGGGTCTCACTCCGCTGGTCTCCGCCGGGCTTTTTCCTCCCACTTGTTTTGGGGGCAAACAGGAGGTTTGCCGAGGTGGGTGGCTTAGCGATGGAGCTGGGGTTGGAGCAATATTAAATCTTCGCTCCAAATAAAGAGGGAGCCGTTCGAGCGACCGCGAGTGTCCAGTTTCCTTCCTAAGCACTTGGCTAGTTTCAAGCCCTCAATCGGCAATACATGGGAGTGTTTGGCTTATTGCAGGTTTGGTCCAACTCCTTTTGTCCCATAAAAATAGCTTAAACCCAAAGACCTGAGGTTGATCCATAATGCATTCCGTCTACAGGGGAATCCAAGGGTACCTCATGTGTGTGGAGCTAATTTTTGTTGACCAACTCTTGATCCTTTGAGGCAATTTTCTTGACCCACATGCAACAGTTCCGCCCCTCTTCAGGGGCGCCAAGGGAGATCGAGGGAGACCATCCTTAGTCCAATCTTTCATCCGACACCCTTGGGTTTAGGGTTTAAGGGGCGTCAAGACACCCTTGGATGTTGGGTCTTCATCCGCCTTCTTTTTGCAGGTGCTTCCACATGACATCGGCCAAGAATGGCAATTCCTCAACGAGGAAGGCCTGGAGAGGAGGACGAGAACCAATGCACAAGCACTGGAGGAACACACACTCAAATCAAGTACGTACAGTACCGTTGTTTCTTTTGTTCCTTTCTTTCTGTCGTTCTTTTTCTTTCTGTTCGTTTTTCTTCATCATGTAGTTTTAAGTACACGGCTGATATCGCGCCGTGTGGTTTCAGGTGGTTTTTAGTCCCCACCAGCCCCCCCCTGCGCGGGGGTGGGGTGGGGTGGGTGGGTGGGGGAGTATTAGCATTTGTTTTCGACCCGTTGTCCATCCGCGTCGTTTGGCAGGGCCTCAGACGCAGTCTTGTATCGGTCCAAGCTTTATGTTGAACCATAGGTTGAGGAGACAAGAGTTTAGCAGTAGCACGAAGGAGACACGAACAGGCCTTCGACGTCACTCAAATGACAAATGTTTGAAGCGTCTTTAACATCATCAGTTGCAGTCAACATGGACATGGCAATGCAATGCAACTGTTCTTGAAGTCTCTTGCAATTAACGTGGACCGGACAGTCATACACGCGCTTGCGCATGTCTTTACTCTTGCGATTGGCCCACGTGCAGACACCGCTTGGCCCGTGTTCCACGTCCTAACAACAATGGAATGATGAATTCAATCAGGCTTGTGTTTGGCACTGTTAAAGCCAATGGAAGAGGAACAAGTTGACAATGCCTGATTTGATACGCATGCGTAAAATCTGCTGTGACCTAGCTGAACCTTGTCGTAGTTACTGTAGTTGAATGGATGCTGTCAAATGATGCAAGCAGCGTCAGACGTCAGATGTTCTTTTCTCAGCATGGTGCGGAAACCACATGCTTTCTGGAAGCTTTGGCCCGATGCAGCCTGGCGCTGCGTCTAAAGGTGCTGTGGGTGTAGCGTGGCCGGGGACACACTATGATAGCTTACGAGCCAACAAAAGGGTGCTTGCTGCTGAGCGCGGCTTTACTTAGGTGCCATTTCACGCCGTTTGTCGGTTTCTCCGGCATTCTCAGAGAACCGCTCCGCTACCACAAGATTCCACTACCTCAAAGCTGAACTGGTTTCTTTCTTTCTTTCTTTCCTTCTTTCCTTCCTTCCTTCCTTCCTTCCTTCTTGTCCTCTCTCTCTCTCTCTGTCTCTGAGACGAATTTAGTATCTCCTGTTTGTTTTTTTGGACAACAGTATACACAAGTCACATAGACCCTGAGCCTTCGAGCAAAGTTTGCAGTTGGCACTTTGCACGGAAATCATTGGAGAAGCGGATTCTCGGAAGCTTCTGGGGGAAGCGGTATAGGACATGGTGTTTTGACACCGTGTTGAAAGGGGAAATCACTATCAGACAGTTTGATATATCTTGGTTCACACACACATCCATCATGGCCCTAAATTGACCCAGCATTGCAGTTAAAATAATCGTTTCAATGAAAATCAAGACTTCGAGTCCCACTCCGGGTTTGATTGAAACCGCAACCCACCGCCCATCACGTTCACCATCGTTCTCTCCGCTGGAGAAAGATAGCGAAAAAATTCTCATAAACGATGCCGGTTTCCCTGGACGACCGCCAGGCTGGCAGTTGGATGAGGACATCTTTGTGTGGTCCTCACCGCCCAAAGCCCTGCAGCAGCTTTACCTCGTTGGCAGGCAGGGCCGGGGCCGGCCGTGCAGGGGGCATGAGATGGTCGAATCATGGTAGAGGTTGACCTTCAGACTGGGGGATTTGAATGGTTGAGAAACCGTTGAGGAAGGATTCGTTGATGTTTACCAAACAAACGCACCATGGTCAATTTTTTGGTTGTTCGATGAGACTAGTGGAGTGGCTCCCCCGATCAAGACGTCCCGCACCTGCCCCTATCGCCAGGGACGGCTCGGAGCGTCTCTGTGGGATGTATGCGCTCCAAGGCACCGAGCGATGACAGAGAAAAACGGGTGCAACGGGGGATTCTCTAGGAAGTGTTCACCAAGGGTCATTCAATTCGTGAAATTCCTGGTGCAGGAGTGCAGGACCATTCAATGGGTGTCACATGGATCAGATGGATGACTCTACACTACTGGGAGCTCCAGCCAGGACACCCATAGCATTGCCCGTGTACGATACATCTCCTTTTGCAAAGAATGCTGACTGGGTTGTAGATGGGTGATTTGGGAGGCGGCTCGGGAAGGTTAGAAAACGATTGATTTGGGGCGTGTTCTGCGACAGCGGGACTGCTAACAAAGACAAATTACTCCATGGGTGTGTATCTACGTCTATCTGGTTTGTCAATCAATGGGGTGTGGCTGGTGTTCGGATCGTTGGATGATGGATGTCACAGATCCAGAGAGGATTGAACCTGGGCTAAGCGCCCCCACAGCCAGCCATGGAGTTCTTCCTTATAACAACCCTACAGAACCTTGTAGATGGACCCTTGGAGTTGACCATAAAAAGATTTGTCTTTAGACCTGAAAGGCAACTTCCTTTACTTCACCAAGAAGATAGACTATAGACTCTTTGGACTTCGGTGTAGGAAGCCATCCAGAGGGGTTTTTCATGACCAACTCGATCAAGCGTTTGGACTTTTGAGATATTGATGATGCGACTTCTAGAGCAAGTGCCTCGCAACTTCTGGTGATTAGTTTTTGCTGCGGTTCTTTCAACAGAGACAGAGCAGTGCTGTGAACAAATGACATGCTCAAGACTCGATCAACGTCGTCATCATCATCATCATCATCATCATCATCATCATCATCATCATCCTCATCCTCATCCTCATCCTCATCCTCATCCTCATCCTCATCCTCATCCTCGTCCTCATCATCATGACGTCTTTCTTTTCTTCGCACCATTCTTTTGCTTGGAGGCCAAACTGCCAACAGCTTGCCGCTGTGGAAAAGAGAAGGCACTGGTGAGGAGTTCTATCTCTACAGCGGCATTGATGGACGCTGGCATGCTCCTTCGACGGCACGGGCCCTTCACCCCCAACGGCCGGCCCAGAGGACCGACGATGTTTCGGGCGATGACCGAGAACGCGAACGCAGGCACTGCCAAGTTGCTCAAAAGCCCTGCTGGCAATCTGAAGTCGATGTTTTTTCTATTTTAGGGACCCAGTTAGGAGGCCTTAATCGTGGCAAGATGCAGAGCCTTAATCGTGGCACTTAGCGTAAGAGAAAGAAAGAAGAAGACCCAGTTAGGAGGGACCCAAGTTAGGAGGGACCCCTTCTTCCATGGCAATCTGAAGTCCACCTCTTAGGGACGGAGCAAGTTTGCACACCCACCACCTCCCCACCTGGTTCCTTCGTTCGAACTTCCAGTTTCGCTTCGAGTCTAGAGCTACCAAGAGAGGTGGGTGGACAGTGACCAGGTCACGTCGGGACCGTCACCTGGGGTACCGTGGCCTGGGATAGGCGAACGCAGTTCGGGTCCTGACCCACCTTTGTTGCTAGTGCCCAGTCCTTCGGATCAACTCCTTGCCTCGCCTCCACAGTCTCGAGAAAAAGCGACCGAGGTCGGAGACCATCAGGCGAGCGGGGGGCCCGGAGCGGGTCTTGTGGTGTTTTGGTTTGGGCGAAGCTGTGTCCCCTGACATTGGGGAAGAGGTTTTCATGTGTTTGGTCCAAGACCGTGATCAAAATTGAAGAGTTTTTACTTGTTTTCTTCCATTTTCTTCAATTTTGTGTCAATTGTTTGTCCATTTTTGTCCGGTTCCTGGACAGCAAGTCCAAGTAAGAGTCCTGAGAGTCCTTCGGGAGTCCGGACATCAATAGCTCTCTAGACCATTTCTGGTCCAAGCCCTGCGGACCGGAAGGTACACGGAAGGCTGTTTGGGGGGTTCACCCCAAGTCATGGTGAACTGCTTTGGAAGTTGGTCAAGGACATTGGAACCCAGCCGGCCTCCCACTGTTGAGATCTCCGTCCTTTCAAACGTCCGACTCAACGGTCCCCTTCTTCGCTCCCTCGGACCTGCGCGGCGAAGCGTTCCCCGCGCCGCAGGCAGCGGCGAAGGGCTTCGAATGTGATCTCGGTGCGTTGAGCAGTTGCCTTCATGGAGCCGTCCCTGGGCATTCGCAGAGAGGGGATCCTTGGAACCTGTTGGGATGCGGCCGACGAGCGGTCAACGTTTCATGGTGTTGGTGTTGCTCCAGGGTGAACGACCCATCCCCACATCGTTGAAGCGAAGATGGACGTAGACCGAGGCTCCATGTCGACCAGTCCATGTTGGGGAAGCCTCCACGGCTGGAACATGCTGGAACGAAGAAACCGGGGTTGAATGAATTGCTTCACAAGAGGTCACAGATCAAGCTTAAGCAACCTGCAAGAGCAAACAACAGCCACGGCCACCACTGCACAAGAAACAGACTAAGAAGCAGCACTTGGCTTGGAAGATCTTGGAAGTTGGAAGACGCTTTTCCGGTGTCAAACTGAATTGAACGACAAGCATTCTGCTACTATGCAATGCTGCTCACCGTGCACAAGACTCGTACAACACATGACAAAACCCACGTCAGATTGATCCTGTTTGTCGCGTCCTAGCTTTGTCACTCCTTTGCATCGTTGTGTTTTGAAGTGTGAAGCCTTGAAGGGGCCCAGGGAGCCTTGAAGGGGCCCAGGGAGACCATCAATCAGGGACATGGACCAAGGAAAGTCTGTGGAAGACCACAGTGCCTGGGAAATAGACATAAAACAACACCGAGCGAAACATTTGGTTGCCTGATGGTGCCTGGGAAATCCATCATCAGCAGATAGCAAGCAGATAGCAGCAGCTTGAACCCGTGCCATATCCACAGGGTTTCAGCATCCAAAGCAATTTGTTTCAGAGGTACCCTGTCCAGAGATCTTCACATTCAATAGTCCGATGCCGCCAGACAGCACTTGCTACGTATTGGTCACACAGTTTCATCGTATCTTCCAATGCATTTGCATGGAGTGAATGTGGATTCTTTGCCAGGAGTCACGAGCAATCCACTAGCTCATGAAGTCTAAGTCCACAGTTTTTTCCTTTTTTTGTTTCATAGCATAGGCCCAATCTCCTGGTTTGGCGGATCCCAGGCGATTTCTATTATATCTGACTATCCGAGGCCATGCCCAACATGCTTCCCAGCGGAGCTTGGGAGAGGCGGGAGGAGGAGCGAACGTGACAGCGCCAGCGCCCGGCTTTGACACCACCCAAGTGTCTCGTAAACTGTTGATGAAGCCCAGCCCCCCAAGCTTTGGAGAATGTAAAACCATAATTCTGGTTGGGTGGGGGTCATTCATCTTATTCATCAAGAGTTGAACCATGAATTGGCATGAACTGGGAGGCTTGGGGTCGACCCAAGCAAGTTTTCAGAGTCGAAACATGTGTCGAGCCATATCCATAGAGCCACAGACAACATCATATAACCTTCCGGGACAAACACAGAAATTCTGGATTGTCCCAGTTGCCAGTTGCTCTGCAACCGGACGCAGGGACGTCCGATTGCAGCACTGCAGACCTGTAGGTTTTATGTGAGGTGATTGCAAATTCACGCTCACCACTCTTTCCAGAGGAAACAACTACCAGATCTGATCAGATCTTCTCTCCCTGTTCTATTCTTGAAATCGCCGCTTCCGCAACCACCCCAGACACTCACTCAGTGCGCGCTTACTACTCCCCACCTACGCAGCACCTTTTCCAGGTCCTGCGGCAGCCGAACTTGTCCCAATCCATCTGTGTCGGCGCTGGCGCGATTGCCGGAGTACCCGACGGAGATCTCAATCCTAAGCCCAGCAGGACAACAGATCCTTGCATGTGAAGCCCAATCGCGGAACATGTCTTGTCCCTAGCCTTCCACGACCATTTAAAGCAGATTCAAGCATATTTAAACATGGTTGAGCTGGTTTTGTAGTGTATCTTTAGTAATACAATTGTTGTTCGGTAAAGGCTATCAAGTTCAATGGTGGTTGGAATCCTGTCCCGGGGCTATCATGTTTGCGACCAAACAGGGGAAGGAAGGATGCAGCACAGAAGGGATGCAAGACCAGACAGAAGAGTGGACCTGAAGCGTGTGATTCTTGTGCGCAAGAAGTTACTCTACTAGTTACTTTACTGCTACTTCGTCTATCAATGTTGAGGTGGTGTTGTTTGGCACGGAAGCTTCTTCTGAACCTTTCAGCTTTTTAAGGACTTTGCAGGTCCGTTCGCACGGGTCATCACGGGTCGATTTCCGCTTTAAAGGAGCTACAGTTGAGTTTGTTTCTTTGAGAACACGTGTGGCACAACACACCCAGCAGTTCTGAGGGCAAATCCAGGGGCACCCCGAAACTGTCCAGCTTGCCCCGTTCGTTCGACGATGGAACTCCATGGATGGTCCATGTTCTGGCTCCGACGGATGCAGGTCGCAGGTGTGGACTCAAGGGGAGCAACAGCCAAGTCACAGGTCGCACCTTGTAAGTGCTTTGAGTGCCAACCTCTTCGGTCAATGCTTCTGGCAGTGTGGTTGGTCTCTTACGTCCATTGTGAACCTGGGGCAAGGTAACCCCACCACACCTGCTCCCCTTAAGGAAGTTGGCTGGCAGATATCAGCTGCAAGATGGCTGGGTGAACGGCCAACGCCATTGGAAGCGTTGTGGTGACGGCGAGGAGTGCTGGCTCTACAGTGGCGCCTCGGGGCGACGCGGATCTGCAACAGTGGGAGGGATCTGATCCTGGGAACGCCGGTAACTGGCGTCGCTCGCTGGGAAGGTTTGGGCCAGTCTGACTGGATAGGTGGATAGGTGGTCTGTGAATGTCTGCGAGTCTTTGGTGTTGTGCTTTGTTTTGCTTGGCATATCTTGGCATTGTTGGTGTATAGAAACTAGAAACCCCAATACCAATGTGTGTACTGTTTGCCATCTAATCAACCATCGGGTGGCTGGTTCTTGCGGGGCTGCCTGGAATATTGCTTCAGATTCTTCACTCAAGGATGCCGTACGCCGCGTACGCCATACCCACGATGGCCCAATTCCGCACCCTCAACACGACGCCTTTCGGGGACATCGGCAAGAATTGCCAGACTCCATCATACACCCTGCAACACACATTCACCTGGCCCCCAAGACTGGGTCACAGACCGTCACTGGGTTGGTCCAAACCCACTGGGACTGGTCCGAAACTCACGTTATCGGTGCGATCGGTGCGGTCGGGGTAACCATGAGGCTGAGATGAGACTGAACTGAACCAACGATGACTCCCGTTGGAACAGACCTCGTGGACGAAAGCCGTTTCGGGACCCAAAGCGCAGACTCCAGGTGTTTGGAAGACTCACTCATGCCTTCTTCGGGTCAGGAAGTCCACTGGCTTTGGAGAAAGAAGAAGACACTTACAGGCTAACTTACAGGTGGTTTTTCGGAGGCTTTTGGTCGATGGCACCGGGGTTTTGAAGAGGTCTTTTTAGATGGGGGTCCAAATACACCACCGAACTTGGGGACTGCCAGCTACTCTCAAACCGCTATTGGTTTATACTTTGATCTAAACCGGAGAATTCCCTGGCACAAGTCAACTTGCAACCTTTGAGGTATTGGCATGTGGCTGGGGCGAAGGCACGCTGCAGCAAATGACATTCAAGCTCAAACAATTGTGTGAATGTTGGACTCTGGACAAACTGTGGTAAACTATGATGGTCAACTAACAGTTACTACTTGACCTTCCCACAGAATACCTTTTGGTACACCGGCGGCTGGATGTTCATTGAAGACCTGCACAACCAGGAGAACAAACCGACCTGCTAACACAAGGCTGCCACAGTCGTCATCTAGCCTTCCTTGCAATACCCGCACAAAACCGAGTGGGAGAGACCAAGTCGCAACTGAGCGTCTGCCCACGACGGGCTTGAACCAGGGTTTTGACCCACAACCATATAGCCCACCCACGCCCATCCTATTCCTATATGATCCTATATGTACGACTACAGTCACTACAGGATTCCAGTTCAGACCTCTCAACCTCACTTGGTACCGCTGTTTCCGTTCGCGTGAGGCGGCCCAGAAGGCGTTTCACTGCACCCTGGGCAACTTGGCCACAGCTTCGCCACACGGAGGCTTACTCCCCTTTCAGGTGCGCAAGCGTGCCGGTCCTTTGGGGTCGGGGCGCTTCGATCTCGCGCTGGGTGACCCGGTCCGAGAGTCCCGCGGGTGTCACCTCGCACGACCTCCGCGACGGTCGCCGGCGGCGTCGACGGTCGAACGGTCGAACGGTTTGGAGACGGTGACGAGCTGGCTGATCCAACGACGGCTGACCAGAGCAGGGAGCGGCAAGCCCGCGAGTTGGCCAGTTCTGTGGAAGCAAAACTATCCGAATCTCTGATAGAATATCGTATAACTATATTATGAGCAACCGCCAAGACGTGCAATGACTAATTTAGTAAAGAGCGGTCGTTATGTTCCGGAATTGGGCTAACACCTGCAAAAGCCATTCATAGGCCCCTCTCAAAAGCGATGACCAGTGCGATGACCTTATTTCCGCAGCTTTTGGATATGTTCAGCTACGGTTACGCCATTAAAATATGTGGAGGGCGGCCCAGGGTTAAGCCTCCCGGAGGTAGTGTATAATTCCTATTCTGTCCGTATGTTTGGGGGCGACGGGCGGCTCCGCATTTTTAAATGTGCAGTTTCTATGTTGACATTGTGGCCAGAACCGGCAAAAGCGATAGGCCCCCTTCAGAAGCCATAACCTTGCTGAATCACGTCCTCTACTTGACAGTACGTTTGGGCAGACGCTCATATATACTATGATTTACAGTAATGTGTATCTATGCATAATTGTGTACATACACAATACATACAGACATTCATACTCATAACATGCCATGCCATACCATTACAGTACATTAATACATCCATCCATCCGTCCTTCCATGCATGCATGCACGCATACATGCATGCATCCATCCATCCATTCATCCTCCCTCCCTCCCTCCCTCCCTCCCTCTCTCCCTCCCTCCCTCCCTTCCTTCCCCGTACTCGTGACATGACGTGACGTGACAATGACATGACATACACGACATACATGACATACATTGACTACATGACATTACATTTCATCACTTTGCATTGCGTTGCATGCATTACATGCATACACGCAGACATACAGACATACATACCATACTATACCATACCGTACCGTACCATACCATACAATAACATTACATTGCATACATTACATTACACCCATTACATTACATCCATTGCGCTCATTAGTACATGCATTACATGCAGACTTCGATACAGACATAGGTACACACATAGATACATACATACATAGATACATACATAGATACATTGGTACACACATAGATACATAGATACATACATAGAGAAAAGGATAGATAGATGGATAGATACATGCATGCATACATACCACACCACACCACACCACACCACACCACACCACACCACACCACAC